GCAGTTGAGATATAGGATATTAAGTTTACCAATTAACGTTTTTTTTTTATTTTAATGTAGATTCTGAAACGAATCGCTTGAACGTAATCCATTATTCACTTTAGATGCGGTGCAAAGGCTGTGTGAACAAATTTACGTGAAGTAAGTATATACAGATAACAAACCAAGGTTGTTACACCCGACGATTTACATTAATCAGCGTTTTAAAAACATCGGTAACATGCGGGTAATATAATATATTTCGTATATGTTACGTACGTGCTCTTTTATAGTTTTTAGCTTCGCAATAAAGTTCATTTTCGGTCAGCAGGTGCACGATTTCTTCACGTATTTTGGCGATAATATAGAAACTTGGTTAATGTTGGCGATTTGTAACGTTGGTTACAATAGTGTTGTCAACACATTCAGATGTGTATCAGGATGTTTATATTCCAATAATGGCGCTGTTCAGTGAAGTTGATCGTAAACTATTTGGTATATGTACCTTTATGTCACTACAGATTTATATTAGGTATTTTAGATATTACAGTATCTGTAAGTGAAGAATTATTTTCGGGGTTCCATTCTAGATGACGTATTTCTGTTGTCGCTTAACGACAAAAGTAATAAATATTATAAAATAAATATTTAAAGGGGCTCCCATAAAACAAACGAATTTTTTTACTGTCACCAGGCGGTATCTCACAAACCGTGTTAGTTAGACAATTGAAATCTTCACATACATCGTATTTATGTTTAGGCTATAACAAAATACTAGAAAGTAGAATGAAATTGATATTTATTTTGGCTTCCAAATGACAAACGTATTTTTTTGCTATCACCAGGTTGTAACAATAAAATTTCCTTTTTGCGGTTGCCTGGAAGAGATCGCTTTTAAGCGGTAAGGCCGCCATTTGCTTCGCTATCTATGTGTATCTTGTATTTTCTCCTTTGTTGAGCAATAAAGTGTATTATTATTATTCCCGTATCCATAATTTACTCTTCCCGACCCCTCGACGATTCGAGGGGTGGGAGGATTCCCCCCGGCAGAGGAGGCCAGACGGCCGGGGGTCAGGGCGACAAAGAGAGAAAACGGCGGACGATCCTTGCGTTATCGAGCAAGATCGCCCGCTGGAGCCTCGCAATCATTGGTCCGTCACGGAGTCCCAACCTCTTCAGATGGTCGTGAAGAGAAGTCGGGACTAGGCCATTCGTTGACACTACGACTGGGACGATCTCAGTGGATGACACTCGCCACATATCGGTAACCTCGTGCGCCAGGTTCAGATATTTAAGTTTTTTATCTGATTCGGCTTTCACGAGGTTTTCATCGAATGGGACGGTGACATCCACTAAGAACACCCGAGATTCCGCCCGGTCCATCAGTACGATATCAGGCTTGTTCGCAGGAACAGTCCTGTCCGTAATGACGGACCGGTTTTATTATTATTAAAAAACAGAACAAAATAAATATTTGAGGGGCTCGTATACAACAAACTTGTTTGTTTTTGCTCGTGTTCTGGTACGGAACCCTTCGTGCGCGAGTTCGACAGGCACTTGGCTGGTTTTTTTTAAATCACGTCAAAACTATGAATTTATCCTGAAATTTATTTGCTTACATTGCACGACCGTCTTTGCGTCCACAACTTACATTTTGAACATAAAGCGTCGTACTTATCGAAGCGCCTAAGATGATCAAAGAGATGTATAACGAAAACCTTTTTTTTTAACGAAAACTTTGGTTGCTTAGATAAAATTTATCTTCTATACTTTACATCTTTTCAAATCAAATCAAATCAAAATTATTTATTCAGTCTCGGCTGTAACAAGCACTTGTGAAAATCGAGAGCTATGCCATCGGTAAATCTTTTCAATCATCTTGCTTATGATGTAGTTTGTGCTAAATTTAAATTCAATACACAGTAATAAATTAGCTGCGGCGGACGAACGGATACAGCCAACCAAGTGATCATATAAGAGTTCCGTTTTTCCTTTGAAGGAGGAATCCTAGAATAGAATAAAACAAAGTATTATTTGGGAACGGAATCGTTTATTGAACCCATCTGTGATAGATGTAATTAAATTATATTGTTACTCTACACATTTTGTACTGTTCAAAGTACCTACCTATTTCAGTATCTATCTCTTACGTATGCACTAACAAATGCATTCAATACCAACGATTATGATATTCGACGAAACTTTCACAAATTGTGCTTCAAAATCAATGGTAGTTACCAATAACAGTACTGGATCTACATATTTATAATAAATACATGGTAATGTTATATATTACTTCAATGGATTTTATGATAAACTATAATTCGCCAATTTTGAAATACATCCGCTATCAGGAATCTATAAATTTAATAATTTACAGGTTTTAAAAGGTCTTATACATTGGAAATAATATATATTTAAGAATTTTCTGAAGTAACTTATTATAATAGTCACAGTTTATTAGGATTTCTCGCGTCCGGATACATACATACTCGTGATTATAATATTTTTATATAAATATTGACGAAACTTAACTTTAACACAAAGACAATTAAATTTATAAATATGTGGGTTTGGACGGATAAATTATCTACAATTTTACATAAACTTCTCTAAAAGAATAATATAGGGATAAAACATTGCAAATTATTTAGCATATGAAATTACAAATATCAATGGTACAAAATTGCCAGACTCCTTTGACTTTAATAAAATCAAGGCACAGATTACAGATATAATGTGCCACCGAAATTTGTAGAACAAAGTCCTTATTTTTTTTAAATAATGAAACAAGAAGAAAAGTAGTAAATTAAATGTCAAAAAGGTAAAAAACGACATAGTTAGGATATAGTTTTTCCCATGCAAGCAAGGTACAAATTAAAGATAACAGTGCCGCAGAAAATTGTGAAACGAGTGTTATTTTTTAAAGTTACAAAAACTGAAGAAGTAAATTAATAAAAAAAAAAGTTTATTGTTAAAGTACAAACGAATAAGATTTTCCCGTGCAAAACCACTAATTACTTGCAACTGTATTTTTTAAACACACCACATTAATGTATCACTTTAACGTTGGAAGCAAGTGCATTTTTAAATAAAGAAGAAAAGAAGCATAAACATTCATATCACAAGATTATGTATCCGAACAAGAGGACGCTTAAATTACATCGGATGGAAAAACAGAAGTCGCTAAGATCTTATTCTACGTTTATATTTTAGATATTCATCGAGTCGTCAGTTCGATATATTAATAAATAGGTATAAATCTTCCTTTATTGTCTTCAATCTTTACCATTTCAAACAAGCTGGGATCAAATAACCAAACTTATTTTAAAGTATAAAATAAACAGAAAGTGTCACGGTGTAACGAGTGGTGGCAATATTTTGTGTAAAATCGCTTTGGTTGCGCCATTAAAATAACTACATATACAATAAAATCCACAAGAACAATTTCGTAATGGTTTCTAACCGTATAATAAAATTAAAGTAAAAAGTAAAGTGCCGATGATTGTGACAAATAACTACAGGATAAAATCGCCAGTTAATTTAAAGCGATAAATTCGAAATAAAGCTTTAATTAATTTCGTCGAAATTTCGTGAATAAAAAGGTCACTGTTTTGATTGATTTAATTATTGGCTGTATATCACCTATGCCTTTGCCACAATCTTCGTCATCTTAATAATACAGGATCATCATCGCCTTATGAAATAATACAACTTCATGATATGTACCTAAGTATACACAAATGATCGACAATACGCAACTGATACAAATTAATAAATAGCATTCAATGACGTCATAATGTCTATATACACCTAACATACTTTAGTACCCTTCGATTTAATGGATTCGTAATGTTAATCGTTCGTTATAGTTGACTATTATTTATTATTTAGTTAGTTACTAGCTCGATACGTAAACTATATAATCGATATTTACATAAGTATCTACGTAATAAGTTTAGTGGGCTACAGTCGTGCGACGAATAAGGCTCGCATCTTTAGTCTAAATTTAGAAAGAGAGAAGTATGAGGCATCCCTCTCGCACGACTCAGCCGTTCCCCTTAGTATACAAACTCTGAAATACACAGTACCTTATTTCACACTTTTATCCAACAGTAACACTTCGTTCGGTTAGAAAGGAATCCATTTAAATGTATATATGAAAATAAGTGGGACTTACAGTATATACAAAAATATCACATTACTTCGAGGCCGCAGCTTTCATTTACTTAGTCAATAGTTATTTCGTCTTATCTAAGTTGTGTTCAATCGAAGCAAGCTAAACATCGCGGGTAGAAGAACTTTTTGTGAGGACATTTGTGTAGTCGTAGGAGGCATTGCGCAAGCACAAGTCGCTGGATTGTATCTGCAGTTGAAAGCGTTAGGCCTTATTCACAATGAAAGTACGGCGTTAGGCGTAATTATTATTTATCAGATTTTTATTTCTTAGAGATTTTACAAACATTGCTTAATCGTTCTACATACGACAAATGAGATGTAGACATATAATTGTCACACTTTTTAGTTTGAATATTTGGCCACGTCCGTTAGTTCATTGTGAATGAATGTTGTTACAAAAACAGAATTTCATCAATTTACACTGCGATGCTTTCGTGTGTCCTAAATTTTCCAATATCTAAGTTAACTATAGGGAGTCAATAAACATCGTATCCTAATCGAGCGGACGTACGACATTCAATTCAGGACTTCAAAGCTGCAGCCTTGTGATAGTGCAGCACGAGCACTACACTACAGTCGCCGAGTTTCATAATTCACACATATTCAGTTACGTCAAAAACTGTGTCACAAGCTTATTATGCCGGGGTCGTGTTATCACTCGAAGCCTAACGAGACGACTCAACCTTTATCACATTAAACAAGCAAGTGAACATGTCACTCGAGCGGTTTCGGAAAGCGGCACGCCGCCACAAGCACGATACAAAAATATAATTTGGCGTTAACGCTAATTCATACAGTCTTTGGTGTCCGGGGAGGAGCCGCCGGAGAGTTCGTCGAGGAAGTCAAAGGTAGCGACAGCGGCCCGCTCCCGGTCGCCGTACCGGACGAAGAAGCCGTCGCGGCCGAGGATGGAGGGCCGCCGGCTGCGCGGGAACCGCAGCACGGCCAGCCCGCGGCTGCGCAGCGCGGCGGCTGCGGCACAACGCGGGTGACGTCACGCGGGCCCCGGGCGGTGACGTCACTCGGAGCGCGGTGACGTCACTCGGCGAGGCGTGACGTAGGCGGCGGCTAGGGGCGGCCGTCTGCGCACACACTAGGCTGAGCCGCGCCACGCCGCCGCCACCACAACACGCGCATACACCGCTCAATGTAACTCTGCCCTAATCTCTAATTCTCAATATTTGCCAACTTCTATTTTTTTCAATTTAGCTACAAAGATGAAACTATGAAAACTTTCCAATTTTTAAATCTTTATAAACTAGGTGTTAATAATAATATCTGATTTTGTTTCATCTGAGTTTAGTTGAAATAATTTAATTTTGGAGCGGTGTATCTGCGTCGACATCTACTCGTAATGAGGCGAGAGAGTGAGATGGTGCGTGCGAGTGAGAGCGGAAACGTGACGTGACTGTGACCGACAGACATGACATGAACCAAATGACAAACAGATGTGTACGTAGCTATAATATACAGATATGATAAAATAGGTAGGCACCTCAAGAATCAAAATAATAGCTAACTTGCATAGGTACCTATGTAATATTTAAATGTTAACATATATATAACTACGTAACATAGCATTTTTTATATTTGGAGAACTATATTTTGTTATTTTGTATTTTTAAATTCAACACAGAATGTTAATTACAATACCATACCCAAAAAGATGAGGTGAAATACACTACTGACAACACTTAATAGAGTTTTAAAAAAGTTTTTCACAACACTAAACACTCTTATAATATATTTTAATATTATAAGCAAATATTTTCAGAAATAAACAAAAAATATAATGAAGTACGAACTGTCAAAAGTTAGAGTACTATTTTTAATTACTATACTATTAGCTACTGACAGTTATTTCATTCAGATTCTCGTCTATTGGTAAAAATATTTGCTTTACTTAATATTCAAGAGTATTATCAGACATAAATTAGCACCATGTCTATAATTCCCGTCTCTTTAGTAAATGGTTAAGTAAAATACTACACAGGACCAATTTCCAATTTAAAGCAATTTACCGACAATATGTAGTTTAGACGGAGACGATAGTTTATATGCTTACCAGTATGCATTATGTTTGTAAGTGATGAACGGCATGGGAAAGATTTCAATGTCAGTCTCTCTATGGCATATGCGGACTTACTAGAATTCCGTCTTCAGGAGTAGCGAAGACGCATCAATCGATCCCGTTTCACAGGTATGGCATATAGGATGCTAAGTCTAGCGTTGACCAGAGTATGGGGTAGATAGCAGAGAATCTTAATAGTTTTGTTTTTTCTAAGAGATGAAAGGGTTTGGGCGATAATCATAGGTACACGAATACCTTTTATTGCAGTGGCGAGGAGTAAAGTGGTAGAGGTGGTTTGGCAGGTGATGACCTCGTTTCAATCTTCGATGGAAGGTAGATATGGATTTAGTGTTGACCAGCATATGGGCATATGGCGTAGATGCTTACCAGTTTTTTGAGAGTGAGGCAGGTGCATAAAAGGGGTTGGATGCCAACGATCATTTAATTAGTATATAGTAGGTTTTCAATACGGGCCCCTTTTTACTTTTGGGACTATAAAGCGTTGTAACTAAAGCATCCCGTTGATATAGACTCTTGTCTGGTTACTGGTATAGACGCTAGATGCGCCAGAGTTGGTATGGCGAGTGATGGTTTCAGTATCCACAGGAATGTAGGTATGGGTTATAGGTCTAGCTCTGACCAGGGATTGATGTAACTCATTTGGGTATGTCTAAGAGCGAGACAGGTGTATGAAAGGGCTTGGGCGCCAATAATCATCATAATGGATAGTAGTACCCTTTATCGCTAATAATCATCATAATGGATAGGCATCAGGGTTTTCAATCTACGTGACAGGAATGTAGATATGGGAGTCTTGACTTATATGCTGGTCAATGTTAAATTTGATACCAAACTATCTTTCCAAGTTTTATGCCTCTAAGAGGGAGGCATGTGAATGAAAGGGCTTGGACGGCGATGATATGGACATGTATGGGTTACAGGTCTAGTGCTGACCAGTATGTGGATTGGTTAGATATCAATATTCCTGTCTGTGAGAGTGATATGGATTTACGAGAATTGTGTCTGCACGAACTCGTTTCTATCTCCAACATGAAGCAGATGTAGACTTACCCTTGACCTATATGCTGATCAACGTTTAGTTTGGGGCCAAACTAACCTTACCAATTTTCTATCTTCTGTTTCTAAGAGTGAGGTTGGTGGATGATAGGGCTTGGACGGCGATGATCTGCATATCGCAACTAGACCTTTGTCTACGCGATTCATATGACACGTGGCTTTGCTTTGGTCATTTAATAGGATTGACCAGTATGTGGGTGGATGGTGATGATCCTTACCAGTTTTCTGTCTCCGCGAACGATGCAACCGATGCAGGCGCGAGTATGGCGCGTGAGGGGGCGGCGGGGGTGGAGGGGGCTCGGCGGGCGATGACCCGCATGATGAAGGCGACGAGTCACTCGATGCTAACATCACGTCCAGGAGATTGGCGCGCGCCTGAGATACGATTCAAATAAAATTGGACATCATAACATTTATATTTGATTGACAATCTATAACAAATAAATAAAATTAGAGTGTCTGTTTGTATTATTAAAACAAACGCATATCACTAAATACATATGTATACGCGGTACATATACAAAAATATTTTTTTTTGCATCTTTCGTCTGTCTGTCACCAAAGACTAAGTCGCTGTTACAGCTAGTGTTATAATAATATAGGTTTTCTAAAATAATAATACTTAGTACTCATTAATTCTATCAGCTCAGAGGTGAAAGACAAAATTTCAATTCGACGTTGACTAAATGACCTGTAGAGTCCGTTGCATCTAGGTTTATTGTGTTGTCCGTATACATAAGTATGTAGTTTTCTTTAAAATGAACCAAAGATCAATCACCCTTTATTTTTTAAAATATATCAAACGTATTTTGATAAGAAAGCTTTTATCTATGGAATACGCGTGGTGGCTAGGCTACATAGGTTATAAATTACGTGAGCAAAGTTATGAGAAAAAAAATAAAAAATAATATTGTGTTTACCTTAGGATCACTGAAATCTATATCTTTCTCTACGTGGACCCAGCCGGTGGGTGCCCACAGCGCGTTATCCTTATGCGAGTGAGCCTTGTCCGGTTGTTCCTCCACTTTGGTATCAGTGACTGCCGTTGATTCACTCTGACGGATCATTCTGAAAGACATTACAATAATTTAGTTTACTTATAAGAAATATAACTAACTTCAAATCAATATAATAGTATAAGGAATATTAAAATCTCACCTATTGAGTTCCTCGATGACATCCTTAGAAGTGGCGGCTTCGTGAAAGCTGAGTGTATGCTCTTGTTTGACAATGATTTGCTCAGCGCAGGCAGACATAGAGGGTCTGCTTCTCTCCGCCACGGGGATCTTCGACCTCGTCCTATTAGGAGACGACGGAGGCCTCTTTCCTCCCATCAAAGTCGGAATCCTACTCTTTTCAGTCCTCGGCTTAATGTCCTTAAAAGTCACTTCGTTCTTATTACTTACTATCACAGTTTCAGCTGTAGAAGTGCTTGTCGTATTCGATTCAGTCATTTGAGGAGAGCCGGTTTCCGGTGACGAGCCTTCCTCCTCTTCAGGGACGGTAACTAAAGCTCCTGTGCTTCTTCTGCAAGCGCTCAACACTTCCTCCACGAACGAAGTCTCCGGTTCGTTGGGAAATGTAAAGCTAGACGACTTTATCAAACTACTCTCCAATTCCACTCTATCACTTGGAAGCTTTTGATTTAATTTTATGTTCACTGTATTTTCCTTTAACGCTGAATGGTGCTCTACGCATCGACTAGATTCTATATCACTTTTTTCGTCCTTGAGTTGAGCTAAAGGTTCTGCATCATCTGCAGAATTGATTATGACATCTATGGTTCTATTTATCTCGTTCTTTCTTTGAACTTTTAATTTATCATGCTGGTCTATTTCGTTTTCAGAGTTTTCGATTTGCGAGAATTCATTAAAATAACCCTCCGACTCTGCGTACGGATCTTCACGTTCGATGAATCGAGGGGTCGATTTTGGCTCGGAAATCGTATCACAATATGGAACCTTCGGACGTTCGCCGAGAATCACATCACAGGAATCGTTCTCTGAGAAACTACCGAACGAGTCCGGTCTCTGTCTGTCTTCGGAGACTTCACTACGTGGACCCACCGAATCATCATCGAAATCCGCCGACGGATAAGGCGGGGGCAGTTCTCGTATTTCTGACACGGGCCGCGACGACATCGAATCAGATTCTTCTCTGTCGCGACAGTATTTTTGCTGCTCTGCAATGAAATGTAGTACGTTTTGCAACGCTTGTTCTCGATCTTGAAGTGCCATTGCCTGCACGTCGTGTACTCGTAAGTGATTGCTTACATCTGGTGCGGGTAAACCTCGCGAAGAGTTCGAAGCGAGACTCTTCGTGCTCTCGTACTTCACTAGTCTATAGAAATCTCGCGTGAAATCGAGACCGACGTTCGCACAGTCACCGTCCTCACTCAAAGCCGCACTCGATCTTTTATCGGGTGCATCAGATGTACTCGACCACGATCCGCCCGGCGAATGCGTTCCACTACATTCCCATCTTTTGTCTGTATTGTCCGGATCATCACCTATTCTACATTCGTCAATCTCTATCGTAGCAAATCCACAGTCATTCCACAAACAATCACCGACGTCCTCCTCTAATTCTAACGCATCGTCTTCTCTAATACTAGGTAACGTGGACAAGGATATCTGCCCGGGCGTCGTTATTTCCGCGAACGGCGATTGCCTGTCTCTGAGATCTTCGCAAGATAAGGAAAGGCTCCAGTCTTCCAATTCTGCTCTATCGTATTCTAAGTCCGCTAAGTCTCTATGCCGTTGCTGAAGTGCCGATCGAGCGTCGTCCAACTCGAGCCAGTGTTGGACATAATCGGCGTCGTACTGCGAGCAATCGGCCCTCTCGTCGACCGTACTTCCCCACGAAACTCTCTCTGAGCTCGTCGTCGATGCGATGGCCGGCCTCCTCAGAGGTCTCTCGGGCGCTGGTTTTAAATCTAAAACTAAAACTCCGGAGCTCGGGGTCGGACTGTCTAGACAACTAGTCGGACAGGTCGTCCCTGCTAGGAGTTTCAAGCAGAGGTGCGAATCAGAGAAGCTTCGGACTACGTGTTGGAAGGGTAGAACTGGTCTCGAAGGCGGGTAGCTCCCTCGAACGCCGGCGAATGCGATACCTATGGGGAAGTAGATATAATCGGCTTCGGCTATGAGTCTTGCGTGTCGCCGTTCCCTCGGGTTGATGGAGACGATGGTCTGGTTGTCGGTTTCATCAGAGGCCTCGTTTAGGTCGGGCAGGGCGCGGTCGGCGGCGTGGTCGCTCTGTCGCGAGGCGTCGGCCTGCACGTCGCTGGACATGGTGGAGTAGCCCTCGTCCTTCGCCCCGCTCTCTGGCGACTCCGCGCCGGCTTCGCACGCTTCCCCGTTGTCTTCCTCTGTGATTTTCTCGCCACATGTGCCTGTAATATTATCGCCTGCATCATTGAAACTGCTTTTTGGGGCACTGATATTCTAAAATATAAGCAATCTAGATATCTAGTTTAGATGTCAGTCTTCTAGAAACAACATTTATAATTATACTAAGCACATTGTTTAAACCAAAAAGTTTGTGGAGAAAAAAACATTATTATTATTATTATTGCCCCACCGAAATAGAAGAACAGAATATTGAAACGAGTTGGCTATGACATAATGGAATAATCACTAACAAAGTCTTCTATGTAGAGGTACTCGCATAAAATTTTTTAGTAACTAAATATAACAACTGCAGCAGGCGAGCAGTCTTAACCGAGATGGTATGGTATTTAAAATCCAGCATTTTTAAAGTTTTTTTTTTGATAACCTAAAGGAACTGCATCTTAAACCTTTAAACTAGAGCCTCTCCGACTCCGCACCCGTCGTGAAAAGGACAGACTTAAAACCGGGTCGGCCTACCTGGTAAAACCCGGTGCGAGTACCCTGTGGGGCTGGACCCGGCGAACTCCCTGCAAGGAGTTCTTCATTACTTGTCTAAAAAAATTATCACCTGTGATCGAGTCTGTGCAAGGTTGTGGCATATTGAGACTAAGTGTGGCTGGGCGCGCGGGTGGCGCCCACAGTGTGGGGTCTACAGCTGACAGAGCGCGAGCCAGGTTCGCGGGTGTCACCTCCAAACCCTAAACAAGTATTATGTATTAACATAAAACATATAGGTTATTATATTATTAATTTTTGCAGAAGTTTAGCGCGTTTGTTTTGTGATTGCTAAGGTCAAGGAAATTTCGTGAAGTTCCATTGATTATCAGCTGGATGAGGATGAGATAATATATGGAGGTACTCCGTGTTTTATAAAATACGTTAAGCTGTTGATTCCATTCTATCCTGCAGTCATTAGAATCTACTAATGCGCACTGGGCTTTTGAAATATGGCATATTCTCCTTATTTCTTTTCAAAGGGAAGGTCTGGGTATTAGGCACATAGACTAATATTTTAGTCATATAGTTCAGTTTGTGTAATACAACATAGGCATTTTTATTGATATATCATTTGAAAAAGAATTTAAAAAAGTACCTTGAGTTCAGTCCAGATATCAGTCAGGATCTGGTGGCGTCGTTTGTCATCATGACTCAGTGGGTGGGGTTGAGGAGTGGGGGGCGCTGGTGGAGGAGAATCACGGAACGATACTAGAGACCCACACGAACCCACGTCCACCAAATGAACTGTAATAAAAGAAATATCATTTTAAATCTGTGTTTCATATTTCAAAATTCATTGTTATAATATGACGTAAAGAAGGTTTGCGAACAATAAACTTTTTAAAATACGAGTAGATTTAATAAAAAAAAAACAGTCTAAGGTAACGAGATTCGATACAAAGTCACGGAACAAAGGTGTTTTTTTTTATTTTTTTAGCGCTTGCATGCAAGCTTGTGGCAAGTTGAAAAGAAGGAGAAAAGGTGTGATAAGCAAAGACTTTGCTACGAAGTGTTTGCTGTGTGTTTTTACCTTGAAAGTCACGCGGCGTGTGCGGTGTGAGAGGTGTATGTGGCGTGGCAGGTGAAGGTCGAGGCTGAGGCCGCAACTGTCTCACCAGCAACGCGCTCAACGCCCTGTTCTGTGCTTCGAGCTCCCGCACCCGAGCACGCGCACATCCTAATTCTTCGCGGACACTCTGGAATATCGGAAAATGCCACTCGTTATATCACAGTTTTTTTCATAAATACCATCTCAAGGCAGTGTTGCCAACTGCTAGCTGCAGCAAGTAGCTAGTTGCAACATTTTATAAAATGTTACTAGATTGATGTTTTTTTAACAAGTTCTGACAATTGCTTTTATTTTTATGAGATCCATCAAGATAGCATTAAAAATAGGTATCTTATGTTTATTAACTATACCTAAATTAAATAATAGTCAAAAAATGGGTCAACGATGGATGGATTTCGAAGTTCAGGAAGGGCCTTGTGGGCGTGGCAGTGCAGTCACGATCCTAGACAAATGTACAGGATCGTGACTTCACCACGCGATCGCGATGTTTAGTCATTCACGAACGCGCGCGCTGTAAGTACTGTGAAACACGCCATTAAAAGTGTTAAAAATGCCGACTTTCGCAGTTATTAATTGAAAAACAAGAAGCCCAACCTCAAGTTGGTCCAAAGGAAGGATTTCTTTCCATTATTAAGTAGAATACTTCTCAAATTTAGTATTTTTAGTCGAAAATCGTGAAATGTTATCAAAAGTGTGAATCACAAAAAATATTTCCAAGAAAATATACATTGCTGGAGAAGTGCGCATATTTATTACATTGCGTCGTACTAAGCACGTAATGTAATGAATATCGCGAAATTACCGTTTTAAATAACAACATAATAGATTACGGTAGATGGGTAGTGAAGTGCCTGGAAACATGTAATCGATTCTTGGTATGTTAGGTAGTAAAAACTAAATAAAAGTATAGACAATAAAAATAGTGGTAATAAAAAATAAATTTTATCAGAGATTAACCATATTGACTCCGTTTGCAATGCGTTTGTATATTAATTTAATAATGAGTGTATTAATATTGTAATATTTTTATTTTTTATTTTGAACCATTAACAACAATACTTTTTAAATCATCGGAGTCTGTTCAGGATAAGTTCCAATAGCATTTATTGTACTGATAGTATTTTTTTATTTTGTATATATTTATTTACATTATATTGTTTGTCAATATTACTAGTTTCATTTAAGCGATGTTGCCGATCTTATCTGTTTACTTGATACGAAATCGAGTAACGTAACGTAAAAAAAACCTACTATTATTATTAATAATTATATGCATATATTTAAGCTCGACTAGTACCGATTCAATGTTAGTTCATTAGTAATTTAAATATTTCTTATTGAATCAACCAACTAATTAAGAATTTATATCTAAAGAAAAAAGATAATGTCTCATTTAATCAATACAATTCAATGTATATCCAATATAATATAAAGAAATCATTAATCTAGTATCCTTTCAATTAATCGACTTGTTGTTTTTCAATATCGATAGTAAATAACTTTATGTTAATCACTAGTGTGATATGTCAAATTGCGCATTATGGATGTCTGTTATAGTTATGGATTGGAGCGTTCTGATTGGCATGTTTAAAATACAAGTGTGTGCATATCTTTTGTATAATTGGTCTAATTATTCGTCTGATGTACGGCGGACTAAAAGTGGGGCAAGACTGGCTACATCGGTTTTCGTACAAAGGATGCATGATCGCCTTTCCAAACCGATGACCTGTCGCTACCAGGACAAGTGCTCTTCAAACTGAGTTATCAGAGACACCACGATTTTTAGACGTGTTTTTCAATCTAAACATCCAATCAATATTATATATCTCGTCTAGAAACTTTAAATTTATTTCCGGAAATTTGAATTTTAAATTATTCGTACCTTTACTGTCTCAAGTTAGGGTTTGTAGACGGATTTTCAGGATTTTAGTACAGGAACAGTTCCTTGTATACGTGATTTTGATACGAAAGAAAGATCCACTTTAATTATATTTGCCTTTGATTGCATTCTGTTACTGCGACTGTTTTAAGGTTTTTCCACTCATATAAATCAATACCTTTCCCTCTTTGGATGACTAATTTACAACGCAGCGAGCGCTACCAAAGGGGTTTTAAATAACCTCGTTACAATTTCGATTTTGACGTGCTATATCTTAGCTGTGTTTGAGTTTTCAAGTTAAATCACTGTAAAATTCGTGCCCCCATTCCACAATCCCTCCATCAGTTGTCTTGGAAATAAATGTGTATATTTTAATTATACTTCATTAGTTAAATTAAATTCGAGTAAAGTAATTGACGGACGGTAATTACAAGGGGAGATGCGAGATACGGGATGGAAAGACATCGCTTCCACAGTGTTGCCAAGTTTGTGGCGTTCCCGATATTAGTCGACTTCAAAGATGTTTATTAGTAGATATCAAAATTGGTTCTCCCGACTTTCAAGATTTAATTACGAGTAAACAAAATTAATGAAGCTCGTATAATTTTCAAATATTAACCAAAGTTTTTAGGCAGTTTAAGTGAGCGCTTAGTGTGACTTCTGTCATTATCGTCGGGAAATTAATTCCTTTAGAGGAAATTATTATTTTAAAGGAATTTTGAAGAAAACCTATTGATGAGAAATGCAATCATTTTATGTGATTACTGACGTAATATTAACTTTCAAACAAATTTTGTTGAATAGACATGTAAATAAATAATCCTCGCTTGCCGATAATTATCAAGACAGCGTATTTTAAAGCAATTAGCGTCACCGGAAGCATTAGGTTTGATGGATGCGCCATATCGCGACCCTTTCAAAGTATACTCGTTCGTTTTCACGTAATAAGTAACCATATGTGTCTCGAGAAGTATCTGATGACGCAATTATACTTAGAGATCGTGGGGAGTCTTAGATACGATGAGTAGGCACGGTAAAATAGATTATTGGAACAACGTTGACTGATTAAAGAGAGTGTTGAAAAAACTACTACGTTCATAACTTTAATAATGAAGATTTCTAAATTTAAAATTCATGAAATCTTATAAAAAAAAGAAATATTTCATGTTTTAATTATCGAGATTCAATCTTGTATCTACAATACTTGGTACGATAGAAAAAACTCGTGGAAATAAAAAAATAATAATAAAAAAATAAAAATAAAATAAAAAAAACTATAAAGCGGTCGAAAGTGAAAATAGTATCTGAAAGGAGGTTAATATATTCAAGAGAATTATATTAAAATAGGGAGGTTAATGTTAATAACTTATATACTTTCGTGTTTCGGCTTCTGTTTAGAAACAGCAACAGAAAATTAGACAAAAGCACGCTTTGCCATCATTATCTAAAAAGTTGGCGCGAAAACTAAAACAATATGGCTACCTCGACTAGATTTAAACCAAACGGTCGCGTTATCAGCCAGATTATGCTCAGATTATAGTGGTCCTGAGCTCCTTTAAAATTATTACGGTGCGAGAACGCCGAAGTGTCCCATTTTGTGCGATTTATGTGCGAATGTAGCACCACATAATCCCAGGGCGCGGGAACGGGACGACTATAATTATGAGAAAACAATTTCCTGGATGCATCTTAATGTCTCCGCCGGATTAAGAGATACGAATATTTTTTTAATGGATTTCCGCGGAGTGTTTATAAATTTTAAAAAGAAATGGCAAATGTGGATATGAAATTTGACAAATTTCGTAACAAAATTATCCTACAGATAACCAAAATCATCGACACAGCACACAGGATTAACAAGCTGAAGTGGTAGTAGGCTGGCCATATCTGTCGATAAATCGATAACCGATGGGGTAAGCGAGTTCTAGAGTGGAACAAACAGCGTGGTAACTTTACAGAAGATCGTATCGTATCGTATGAAACAGGGAAAAATGGAGCGTACCTTAAGGGGGAGGCTCATGTCTAGCAGTGGACTGCTGAAGTCTAATGATGACAATAAATGATTTGATTTTTTTTTGTGTTTAAATTCAATATTATATTTCACCCATGTCTGCCTTCATCATCGTCACCATCAACCCTTTTACGTCCTCACTGCAGGGGCTCAAGCTTTCTTCAAGGATGTTTAAGGAGGATGGGCCGTGACCCTCCACGCTAGTCCAATGCGGATTGGAGGGTCCAACCGGAGCCGGGACCAATGGCTTAACATGAAGCACGGAGTAGCTCGAGATAAAAACTTTTTGATCACCCATCCTGTGACCGACCCTTGCGATGGTTGCTTAACAACAACAATTGCGAGTCGCGGCGTTTATCCACTCCGCCACCGAGCTACTCACTCTATCTGCCTTTACTACGAGCTTAAAGAAAGAATAATCAGCAATCTCTTTTTACAATATTTTATTTTTATATTAAAATATACCTTCTGTGAGAGCAGCGCGCGCACCACCTGCTGGGCAACATCATCCAGTTTCCGTTCGTGCTCACCAGCACCGAGGCCCGCCGACAGAGCGGTCAGCTGCCCGCGCAGCCTCTCATTTTCAGCACTCAGCGCTGTTAGCTGACTCTGGTAATGCGCTGCTGACGCCTGCAATGAAAACGAAAATATGTAACATACAGAACACTCTGGAATTATCCAACATCTTAACCTATATACCATTGACATTACGTTACAACAAAAGGTCCGATTATAGGTTTGTCGATTTTAAGTTACAGACTGAGTTTGAAATTGAAATAAAATCTTTAAACAAGTTTTTTAGTACAAAAGTTCATTAATTATCACAGATATTATAATACTAGATATAAGTAATTTTTATTTTTATTAAATATTATATTGTTGTTAGTAAATATTTAAAATGTCATCTTGTTTAAGTCTAAATATTTTAAGAGGCTTTAACAAAATAACAAAATTTGGTTAACGCTCGAAAGGACCGATGGCTCTTTTTTCATTTTTTCGTCACTAATATTTGAAGAGTCGTTCCCGTCCCGTCGACAACATCACAGTATAAAAAAAGCTCACGCACTTAAAAAAGCTCTAGAAAGGGCCTATCATTCGCACTCTTAATTAAGCGGGCGCCCGTCAACTCACAAAAATAAACAGACCAAAATAAGCTGACCTATTCCACTTGTCATGCTGCGAATAATTTCATACTGTACGAGTAAGAACGGTCACAAAGTTAGGGGTCTTAATAAATTTGGCATGAATGAATACGATTTTCATTCGACACACAGCTTTGAGTCTTATAACCTTTTAGCTTAGAGGTTTTTAAAGAGGAAAATGCTGGTAGGTTTTCATTAGTAACTGTGAGGGCGAGGCACAATGGCTCTGTTTGTCTGTCTGTCTGTAACAACACGCGGTGTGATACGGCGTCAAAGGGGTCCATTTCAACTGTGCGTTTAATTTTGACAGCGCTTTTGT